GAATTACCAAAAGGATGGACAAAATTTAGTATATTTTTTCAGCTACCGTACTGGCAAAAGCTAAAAATTAGGCGTAACCTAGATGTAATGCATATTGAAAAAAATATATGTGATAACCTGTTGTCCACACTCTTACAAGATGGTAAGAAATCAAAGGACGATTTACGAGCTCGGCGAGACTTGAATGCATTGAACATCCGACATGATCTGCAAGCACGAGAAGTTACTGAAGGCAAATTTGAGTTGCCCTCATCTCGCATTACGATGACAAAGGTTGAGATGCAAAGATTCTGTGAGGTGCTCAAATCGGTAAAGTCGCCTGATGGTTACTGTTCTAATATTTCAAATAATGTCCAGGTGAAAGAGCGAAAAATTTTGGGACTTAAGACTCATGATTATCACATCCTTCTTCACCAATTGCTTCCCGTGGCACTCCGTAACAATATGGCTGATGATGAAGTAGCAAAGGTTATAATTGAATTCTGTGGATTTTTTAGAAAGTTATGCTCAAAAGTTATCAATGTTACAGAATTTTAAGACACTAAAAGGAGAAATGAATGAAACCCTTTGCAAAATGGAGTTATTCTTCCCTCCCTCATTTTTACTATTATGGTCCATCTTACACATCATCTTGTAGATGAGGCATTACTCGGAGGTCCAGTTAACTATCGTTGGATGTATCCCATGGAGAGGTTAGTTAAAATTCAATAAAGTCACTTTACCTAACATGTAATTATTTTATCTTAATAACTAAAGTTATTTTTGTTTTTTTAGATATTTGGGTTTCTTGAAGCGCATAATGCGCAATCGAGCTCATCCGGAGGGTTCGATTGCTGACCATTACGTTGCAAATGAATGCATGTCTTTTGCCTCTCGATATATGCGAGGTGGAGATGCAAATAATAATACACAAATTAGTAAAAGAGATGCCACTTTTCATGGCAGTACCAAGATGAACAAGGATTACTCCAGAATAGACTTGGAACAAGCTCATGCATTCGTCTTGCACAATCTGGAGATCTTTGAAAATTATCGAAAGTAAGTATATTAACTTTAATAAAAGTGATAATTTTTTTATTTATATAATTATTAATCTCTTATATTGTATCAATAGTCAACATTTGGAGGAGTTGCAGTTAGAAATAACTGGGCCGTCAGCACGGAATCAAATTGCCAAAATACATGAAAAAAAAAATTCTGAATGGGTTTCAGCTGAAGTAAGTTTTGTGAATTTTAATTTTAATTAACTTTGAGAAAAATTTAGAATAACTTCTTAACGATCGTTTGTTTATTTTGTTTAACATTAGGTAGAAAGACAAATATTTGCTGGTTTACCAATATCAGAAGAGATAAGAATTCATGCACACGGGCCACACTACACAGTTAAACAATGCAGCGGATATCGTGTGAATGGGTTTTTATTTCAAAAGTTGGGGATTGAGGAGGAGAGAGTTACCCAAAACAGTGGGGTCATGGCTATCTTCTCTCAAGAATGTTATGCAAGCTCGACAGATCAGAATCCAATACTTAATGATCTAATTTATTATGGACAACTAGAAGATATCTTGGAGATGTTCTATGCGTATGGTACAAAAGACGTACGTAGTTATGTGATGTTTAAGGTTCGATGGTGTCATGCTGAAATAACAAGAGATGCATATGGCTTTAATCTTGTAAATCTAGACAAGGAGATTTACTCCGATTTGAAGTTCATGTTTGCAAAGCAGGCTACTCAGTGCTTTTATGTCAAAGATCCTAGACAGCCGAAGGTTTGGGTCGCATTGTATAAGGAGCCGAGAACTCTTGTTGAACTTTCTCTCGATGAAAACATAGAGGGTTCTGATGATCCAAATGAGACTGAAGGAGAAGTTTTTCCTAATTACTCATACCCGCAAAATGTCAATTTTAATATGTATACTCCGCAAAATCGGCTTGATATTCGTAATGTAGGAGATTGAATGTCGAAATATTAGTACTTTTAAAATTTAAAGTATTAACTTTGTCGTTTTAATATATATTTTTTATTTTGTCAATGCAATTTTCAACATTCACTTATTTTGCTTCAATAAATTGAATAATCATTTAAGATGCAGATGAGCCGAAGGATAAAGCGCATAGGGGAAGTTTCCCACAATCAAGCAAATTCATCATCAGGTATAAATATTAATTTGTTCAAATAAATTGTGTTTGTGATATAAATATGCATATTTCGCATTTATAATTATATTTTTTACGTGTAGGAATGTCCTCACGACCTTATAGTAGTCCATTATCTCTACATGGATCCTCACCCGTTGAAGGTATTAATTTATTTAATATCATTAAGTTAATTGAGAAACTTATTTACCTATATTATTTTTATTACTTTCGTAGATATTGCGGGGACAGATACACATGCATCTCCTATGAGTCCACCTATGAGTCAACGTCATCATCGGGATTCATCGCCTGGTCTAGGTATTAATTTTAATGTCCATGGATATTTTATGTTCCATATAAATATTTATTTCACATTTTATATTGCAGACAATCATCATGATGGATCCGGTGATGACGAGATCCAACACGAGTCTTTTGCGAGATCTTCTCAGTCGGAGGTTGAATGTCTCCGTCCATGGACTGAAGCAGTAAATTCCATCCCCTTACCAGAAAAGGCTATCACATTGCAAAAGAAATGCGATAGGAACTATAAAAAAAGGAGAGAAGACATTAAAAACAAGGATAGTATAATAAAGCAGAGACTAGAAAAGGCGATGTCAGATAAGTTGAGGGAAATGGGTAAGAATATCATGTAAACTATTAAGATTTTGTCGTTATTTAATTATTAAAGTTTATAAAAAATATATCTCTCTTTGTCTTTGTAGGGAACAAGGACTACGAGAAGGCCGGTAGGCATGGCAGTGATCTGTTTACGAAGGTACCTCCTAAAGGTTATCGAGCCATTTTGGGGTGGATGGGCAACATTCCAATTGGAGATTACGCCGTCAGATTTAATAATTTGATCGGTTGTTTAATCAGAGACCCACACCACATTAACATCGCTCATAACTTTGATGAACAACAATGGAATGGAATAAAGAAGATATGGGAGAGGCTCATGGTAATTATTCGTTATATTGTTTTTTCAATAAATATTTATTTAATTTTTTAATATTGCATGTTTTTGTAACACCTAATTTGTAGAATCACTATTGCCTTGAGGACAACCCGGACTCTTGGGATTACGTAATGAGTAGAGCGAGCAAGATGCTTCGGGGGTGGAGGAGTAGACTTAAGAGTCAATACTTTACAGATATAACCATTGATTGGAAGCGGATTCATCAGCTTGATAAGAGGGTTCCTCCTTATAATTGGATGACTCTCATTATCGAGTGGGAGGGCGAGAAGAAGGTGAGTTATTTTTTAATTAATTATATTACCACCACATATACTGAAAAATTACTTTATTTTGAAGGATAAATGTTCGATAGCATCGGCTAATCGCGGTGCAAAGCTATATGATCACTTTCTAGGAGCTACTCCCTACGCTCGGATCGAGCATAAATATTTGCGTGAAAATCCGGTTAGATCAAAATATTAAAACTCAACTCATGTTACTATTTTCATACGTTATTAGAAATAACTTGAAATTTGATTAATCATAGGACGCCTTGACTATGCCGCCAACTCTTCTTGCTAGAAGTGCATATACACCACCCGAGGGCTATGATAAGGTGGAAAAGATGACAAAAATTAAGGATATGCATGTAAGTATAAACTTAATTTCATATTTGCACACATGTATTTCTAATTAGAATTCATTAATGTTCGAATACCATTTATAGTGTAATGCATTCATATCTGCTTAATTATTCATTCATGTGCTTTCTAAAACATTCATGGAAGTGTGGAACAATTGATGTTTTTGCTGAATTAAGTGATAGCTTCATCATCAAGTTTACATATATTTTCCAAATGCAGATATTGCCTGTGTAAGGCCTTAAATAAGGATATGCGTGCATGCTTATTCATCGTGTTTCTTTACTTGGTATATACTGGAACTTTCACATTCACTTTTCACACTTTGCTAAAAATTGTGATAACATTTCTAACCATATCATATGCTGAATGCAAGAATGCACATAAATATGCATATAAATTTACTACGGAAATGTCGTCATCCCTTCATGTTTAAAAGTTACTGTGTCACACTTTATGACCCCAGGCACTTGATAACCATGTTCCATCCCCGACTAGGAACAGGGACATGCAGTTCACCTTATTTTTTCTAGACTAGTTAGGCTCACTCCAATACTTTTGATCTGAAATTACAGAGATGATCAAAATCTGTGGTCCTTTGTCTTGATACTACTAACATTTAGAACTTTTGCTTAACTAAAATGTGTGTGTGTTTGAGATTTTTGGGGCTTAATTGGCTGTTTTCTTCCGGGTATTTGTAACAGAGTCATGAACTTCAAGCCTAGCTGTGATGTATTTGTAACAGTCATGAACTTAAAGCCTAGGCTGCACGACTCATATTATACCAGTATGTTTGACGAAGAAGGTAAAAAATGCATGTCCAGTGACATATCTTTTTCTTTCAGAATCATAGCTGAAAAAGGTCGACTATAAATGAAATAAGAAAGTGATCATATAGCTTTGCACTTAATTCATAACATTGTCTTAATTTATTTATTTCTATTGGTTGAGTTCCATTGCTTAAGACTGCCCTAATTTATTTATTTCTATTGCTATATGTTATTTAGGAGGCGCTTGAAGCTTCACAAGACTTTGTCTTGTCCCAGTCTCAGAGCATAGAGAACACTCCTACCGATCCTAATCGCATGACTAGAGAGCAATGGAGGGAAATTGTTGATGGAGTTTATGGCTCTAAACCAATCAAGAAAGGGAGAGTGCCTTTATCAAGTGGAAAAGTTAGGATAGTCTCCACTAGCAGGAATATACAAAATGACTCGTCCGCGACCTCAAATCGACCAAGTGTGACATCGTACGTCGTGGCTAAAATTGGACAGTATTTAATGGACAATGTTCAACCCTCGATGTTTTTTCAATTTATTCCCATTATTACGCGCGAGCTAGGGGGTGCACAATCGACTTGGGATGTTGTGCAGCGCCTCAGTGATTGTCCATCGTTGAAGGAGATTCTTCCTGAGTCGATATACTTAGAGATCTTTAAGTTGGCGTTTGCCGAGCATGAAGTTCATGGTGGTGGAGAGGTATATATGACGCGACATATATGTATTTATTATTATATTTTTGGTATATATATATCTTATGTGGAGTGATATTCTTTTCAGACTGGAGGAGGTATTGTAGGGAGCAGCAGTACGATACGACGTTCTAATGCAGACGATGCTGATAACAGGGATGCCGATGATGACGAGGAGTGAGTGAGACTTGTGTTAAGACATATCATGACTTTTGAATTTTACATATATAAAATATATATGTGATTTTATTGCGTAGTGAATGAATATTATTTGAGCATGCGAGATGTATTGTGATTGTGATTATATGACGAGTATTATTCGATATTGTGGATTGACGGATGAAATTGAATGAGTGTGGAATGTGAATGTATATCATGGTTGATTTTATGATATATTGTTAAATATTATCATTGGATTGATGGAGATACAGGTTATATGTGTATTCTCTCGTATGGGAGGCTACCGAAAAATTAAATTTTTTTTGCGTAAATATATACATTGGCCGGGAAAATCTCCGTCGGCAATAAACATTGGCCACGGGGTAATCCGTCGTCAATGTTAAAACATTAGCGACGGACTACCCGTCACCAATAAACATTGGCGACGGGGTGATCCGTCGCCAATGTTCAAACATTGGCGACGAGCTACCCCGTCGCCAATGTTTATTAGCGACGGGGTGTCCCGTCGCCAATGTTTAAACATTGGCGACGGATTACCCCGTCGCCAATGTTTAAACATTGGCGACGAATTTCCCTGTCGCCAATAAACATTAGTGACGGGGTGATCCGTCGTCAATGTTAAAACATTGACGACGGACTACCCAGTCGCCAATAAACATTGGCGACGGGGTAGCCCGTCGCTAATGTTTGAACATTGGCGACGGATCACCCCGTCGCCAATGTTTATTAGCGACGGAAGTAACCCGTCGCCAAAGAAATCCGTCGCCAATAGTCGTGCGTCGCCAATAAGTATTGGCGACGGGGCAACCCGTCGCCAATACTTATTGGCGACGGATTTATTGGCGACGGAAATGGGTCCGTCGCTAATATGTATTGGTGATGGATTTTGGGGCATTGGTGACGGATTTCCCCGTCGCCAATGCCCTGTTTTCTACTAGTGTTTGAATCTTGCAAGCTAAACTTGGCCACCATCTGATCAACATAAGTAGTAAGGGATAATACTATTAACCTGTTAACTTAGTCTCTAAAGAATTCAACTCCCACATTATATGAAGCCTCATTCAAATCTTTCACTTAGGATTTGTTAGACAACCGTAATTCAAAAGTTGGTAACATTTTGACATCATTAAGATTGCTCAGAAGTATTTGATAAAAATTAGTTTTTTAGTTAGAAGCATTTGATAAAATTACTGTAAATCATAAGTTGATAACATTTTGGCATCATTGAGATTGCTCAGAAGTATTTGATAAAAGATAGTTTTTTAGTTAGAAGCATTTGATAAAAATTTTCATAGAGAATTTGTTAGAAAACCACAATTTTTGTATTTTTAGGACTTTTTGGAGGTTGCTTGTAATATTTTAATATTCAGCGTTAATTTCCAAACGTTCAAAGGGCTGGTCGAAGATTTTAGATTTTCAAAGTGTTTTTTATTTTTATTTTTTATTTTTTTGGGGTGTTTCTAGCAATTTTATATTTTTTTAGTTTGTAAATTTTAATTTTTTGAGTGGTGTATGTAATTGCAGATTGTTCATAGAACTACTAAAAAAAATTATTTTTAAGTTTTTTCTTACTTTTTAGATTTTTATTATGTATTTTTATGATTTTTAGCTTTTTAAAGGGGGTTTATTTGTAATTTTCAATTTTCAAGGTATTATATATATATTTTAAGTTTTTAGGGGACTATTCAAAATTTTCATATTTTTATTGAGTTTTTTTTATAACTTTTAGAATTTTCGGTGAAGAGGTAGTTAGTAATTTTAAAATTTGAGGATTTAGCGTATAATTTCATAATGTTTAAGAGGTTGTTCAAAAGTTTCAGATTTTTAGTGTTTTTTGTAACTTTTAGATCTTTTGGGGTGCTTTTATAACTTGTGGATTTTATAGAGGATCTTAATGTTTGTAATTTTTAGAATTTTTAAATAGTGATTTATAATTTGTAGCTGTATAGGGAATTGCTTGCAATTTTTGATATTGTAAGGACTTTTTAAATTTTTTTGATTTTTAAGGGTTTGTTCGTAATTTCCTGATATATATAAGGGTAGTTTGTATAATTTTTAGATTTTTAAGAAGGGTGTTTATAATTTTTGGGTTAAGAATTCATTAAAGATATTTTTGTTATTTAGGGTGATATTTTATTTTGTTATTTAGGGTAGGATCAAAAGTAATGTACTACTAATCTATTTAAAGGGGTTTTTAATTAGGATAGGATCATAATGTGATATTCAATAAGATCAATGATAATATTGTCTAGGGGAAGTTTTTCCCAAATTCTCACTTTTAAAAGGAGTACATATGATGTTGTATATAATTGCAGATTGTTCATAGAACTATTCAAAAAAAATTGTTTTTCAAGTTTTTCTAATTTTTCAATTTTTTTCTAGGGTATTCTATAATTTTTATCTTTTTAAGGGGGTTATTTGTAATTTTCATATCTTACAGGTGTTTTTTTATAATTTTTATAATTTTAGAGGAGGTTGTTAGTAATTTTTAAATTTGAGGGTTCTGTTTATAACTTCATATTGTTCAAGAGGTTGTTCAAAAGTTTCAGATTTTAGTGTTTGTTTTTAATAACTTTCAGATCTTTTGGGGGTTTTGTAACTTTTGGGTTTTGTCTTAAGGTTTGTAATCTTTAGATTTTTAAATAGTGATTTGTAATTTATTGCAAATTTTGATAATATGAGGACTTATTGAAAATTTTTTTATTTCTAAGGGGTTCTTTGCAATTTTTTGATATAAGGGTGCTTCGTACAATTTTTAAGATTTTAAAGAATATTGTTTCTAATTTTTGGATTTTTAAGAATTTATTAAAGATATTTATGTTATTTAAAATAGGATCAAAAGTAATGTACTATAGGTCTATTTAAAGGGTTAATTAATTAGAATAGGATCATAACGTGATATTTAAAAAGATTAAATGATAATATTATTTAAGAAAAGTTTTTTCTAAAATTCTCACTTTTAAAGTAAGTATTATATCGTATGATCTGTGTATCACAAATGTTTCCGGTAGCAAGAAGTGACAAATTGAACAGCTAAGGTGGACAAATAAGGGCGGAAGCCTATTTACTATTAGTTAAGTTGAAAACTACGCAAAGCCCATTATTACCTTTTGTGAAGCTGAGTCGTTAAGCCCAATAATTTTTCTTCACTGCTAAACGTTATATAACTTTTTAGAAGTTGCAATAGATATTTTTTTGACTTTTTTTTTATTGCCTTTGAACCCAAGTCGAAAACATCGATTCTGTTGGGCTACATTTAATTAATTAATCTGGAGCTGAGTTTGAGTTGGGCTATGGCCCAAGGCGTTTTGACGTAGCTTTGCGTTGTAGTAGGGAAAAGATGAAAATTTGTTTAATAAGCGGGAGTGGTGGAATTAACCACATAAAATTAATGACTATTTATGATTCATAAAGATAATCCTCTATTGTCAGAAAACAATATTACGATATCTGAATCTTTGTTCACCTGAACTTGCTCCTATGATCCCAAAATCTCTTCTAAGCTGTGTTAAGAACAAGAATCTCATGAAGTAAAAATCTAAACATAGTTTTTTAATAACTAATTATAGTGATACAGTTTTAGATGTTTAAAAAATGTTGGATTTAAATCTAATTAAATCTATTTGTGGGCACATATGATTAATCTATGTGTATTGCTATCATTCAGGATAACCCACTAAAGTGATCAATTAATTTAGGTTAATGAGTATTTAAATAAATCATGGGGTTATATGTGTAGATACCAGGTTGTAATTGTAATTTGATGTTTAAATAAATCATGGGGTTATATGTGTAGATACCAGGTTGTAATTGTAATTTGATGAGGGGCCAAATTATAAATGTACAACACCTATATATATGGGAGGTTGTAATTGTAATTTGATGAGGGGCCAAATTATAAATGTACAACACCTATATATATGGGGTTATGGTTCCTAATCTAGGGTTAGCCACCCCCATTCTCTTATCCCTATCTAAAGAGATCTATAAGGGAGAAACCCTAAGGTTAGAATATTATCAAAACCCTAATCAGGTTTTCCTCAATGGATTCAGGTATATGCTTCCGCACATTTTGATTCTTGTTAATCTCTTTCAATTAATCATGACTTTATGGTTTAGATCTCAAATATTAGATCTAACAAGTGGTATCAGAGCCATCGTGATTTGTTCTAAGAGATTAAGATTAAAATTAGGGTTCTTTGATCTTAATTTGTGTTCTTTTAAGATCTGTTCACGAATGAACAGTAACTTTTTTGATTTGTTACTGTTCGGATGAACAGTAAAAATTCCCTTTTTGTTTGGTTTTTCTTCCAATTTTGGATCTGTAGCACTTACGAACTCTAAAATTCAATTCTTTTGTGTTTGATTCAATTTTTGAGGTTTGGATCTGAATGATTGAGTTAAAAATGTCTTTTAATCTGTCGTCGGTCACTAAAACTCCTCACCGGAGTTGTTTCAAAGGCGACGGTTTTCAGAACGAACCCTAAGGGGTGCTCGTTGGCTGCAGCCCAAGTGGCGGCGGCGTTTCAGATCTTAACCCTAACGGGTGAAAGAAAAAAAATAGGGCTTGAGGACTTACCCGTTCTCAGGCGAGCCTTGTGCTCGATTCAGACGAACCTCGCCTTCGTTCTCAGGCGAGCCTCGTGCTCGATTCAGACGAACCTCGCGTTCGTTCTCAGGCGAGCATCATGCTCTATTCAAACAAACCTCGCGTTCGTTCTCAAAGTTGAACATCGCGTTCATTCTCAATTCGAACCTCGCGTTCATTTTTAAAACGAACATTGCGTTCGTTCTCAACTTGAACATCGCATTCATTCTCAGGTCGAACTTCACGTTCATTTTCAAAACGAACCTTGCGTTCGTTCTCAAGTTGAACATCACGTTCATTTTTAGACGAACTTTGCGTTCGTTCTTAGGTGAGTCTCGTACTCAATACAGGCGAACCTCGCGTTTGAAGTCAAGTGAACTTCGTGTTCACTATGGTTAAGCCTTAGCTTTTCA